TGTCGATCATCTTGGTACTTTTCTGGACCTTGAACGTGGTAGTTACCTTGCTGTCTATGGGAGGATCAGAGAGCCCTCAGATTTCATCAAAAATATCTTAAATTGTGTTCCGAAGATGAACAAAGGTCTTACGGGTTTGGAACAAGGGTGAGTAATTAATGACAGAATTTTCATTTTTGGGTGAACTAACCCTTTAAGGATCGGGCCGCCTCGCTATTTACAGCTTCTGTACACAGTACTCCAGTTTTATTTACACACAGAACGAGAGGAAGAGAAACAGACAGAAACTAGAAAAAAAGGGAAAAGCTCATTTTGGTATGCAAGACAACAGCAAAATCTTGCAGTTCTCCAAAAATCCCCTTGAAAACCCCATAAACAACTCCATAATAGTGGATTTAGAGTAAACAGAGACGGGATGCACTGACAGTCACCCCTGACGTGACCGACTGGGAACCATAAATCCAAATCCACTTCAACACTTCCTCTTCCTGTGTGAGAGACATTCATTTCCTGTTTCAAAAATAAAAGCGAGATTCTGTTTCCTTAGAAATGCCTCCGATGAATGACCTTGTGTGCAGATCAGGGATATTATAGTTAACTAAAACTAAAAAGCATTTGTGTTACTTGAAATAAAATAGCTGAAATTATTTATTTTATTTTTATTTCAGCCAATTGCCAAGTAAACATTTCTCATTTAGTTTAACTTGATGTACTAAAATAACACTAACAATAATAAGACTTTAAAATTAAAATAATAAATAAAATAAAAATGACAAAAACAAAACTTTAAAATTAAATTATAAAAACTATAATAGTATCTCAATAATACTAAAACAACTCGGGGATGACCAAACACAAAGATCAACAGCGGGTTGAGCTCTTCACACATGCACACCTGTTTTTGATGCGTAGTTTGACTCCACTGCATCTGCAGTCTCTGGAAGGACTAAGAGGACGCGGGTCAGAACAGCAAGGACCTGGACAACACTCTCTACAAACACAAACAAACATTTAGGTTAGACATGCATTCTTTATAAATCACAAGCAGTTAAAGCACTCGTATCTTGGAAAACAAAACAGCCCTTTTCAAAATAAAACAAGTGTGATGCATGATCAAATGTCCGTAACTAATCTAAACTTCCTGTTCTGTTCTCTCAGACTATTTAACTAAAACTTTAAGAACTTGTTCAGAGATTGTCCTGGTTATGACATCACAACCATGATCTCATTACGTTAAAAACAGGTCAACAACAAGTCTGCGTCATATGTGAACGCCTTCTAAGAAATGCATCTAATTAAACAGGGCTTGACGAGGCGATTGCAAAAATATGTAATTTCGCACATCCCTAGTCTAGACGGTATGAGTACATTGGTTTAATCCGACGGGACTCGGGCAGAAATCATGTTCATAGATGAGCTAATGATTTATTAACGTAGTAGAATGAAGCAGGGTTAGGCTGAAAGCCGTCGAATCGAAACGAGGTTGCTGAACGAGCGCGACACACGGCTCGCAAGCAGTGGAGCTTTTATTATGCCACAGTCGACCGCTTCCGCTGCTTCCGGTCGTGCGTATGTGGGGTAAAGCAGCGCTGTTTTATCATACTAGATACATTTGAAAGTTCTGTTATAATGCTACTCTGTGCGGTCGTCACCGTTCTATTACAACGCACAACATATTAAAGCATCTTTGGTGTTTCCATGTTTTCTACAAAACAAAACCAGAAATCGAGGGGTTATGACGTCATTAGCAGGCGACACAATGACACTATAGACACGGTCCGTGTCACTAGTTAAAACTGCTTATTCCTCTGGATTTAAACATTCTTTGAAACATTTGGGATAATGTAAGTACACAAGTCAGCAATATATATAACACTGTTATATATATATATAAAAAAACGTACATATTGTGCCTTTAAACTGTCAAATACACATTTATGTTAAAAACACACATGGGTTACAAAAACAGTCAGTTGTCTGTGAAGGTAAACTGCTGGGAAAGAAATCGCAGGTTTATACTAGATCTGTAGCTATGTTTCCATCACCCTGTTTTAATGCGCATTTTGAAGTATCTCTTGAGAAACGAGTGATGGAAATGCCAAATTTCGAAAATAAATCCCTTAATTCGCAAAAAATTTCTAATTTTTTACGCTCGCTTTAGGTGGTTTTTGACTTGTGCGAAAAAGGGTTAATGCGAATAATGGGAGATGGAAACGCATTCGCATTTTGCGAATAAATCCCGCATGAGCGTGCAAAAAAGTCATGTGACTTTGTGCTATGGGACAGCATAACCTGACTAACCAGCGGACCGATTTTGTTGCACAGCATCTGAAATGTTGTCATGGTCATTCTGAAGTGCACGAGCAAAGTCTGTCGTCAAAGTATATCTGTATAACTGCCTCCCAGATCGGTCTACCATGACTGCGTTCCCAAACAGCTGACATTC